TTATGTTCTTCTCTAAACTGGTTATTCTAGTTAGCATTTCATCTAACCTCTTTTCGAAGTTCTTAGCTTCTTTGCATTGGGTTGTAACATGCTCCTTTAGATTGGAGAAGTTTGTTATTACCCACCTTATGAAGCCTGTATCTGTTAATTCACCAAACTTATTCTCCATCCAGTTTTGTTCCCTTGCTGACAAGGAGTTGTGATCCCTTGGAGGAGAAGAGGCATTCTGGTTTTTGGAATTTTCAAAAACCTTTTTGCATTGGTTTCCTCCCATCTTTGTGGATTTATCTATTTTTGGTCTTTAAAGTTGGTGACCTTTGGATGGGGTCTCTGAGTGGACATCCTTTCAGTTGATGTTGAAACTATTTCTTTCTGTTTGTTAGTTTTCCTTCTAACAATCAGGCCCCGCTGCTGCAGGTCTGCTGGGGTTTTCTGGAGATCCACCCCAGATCCTGCTTGCCTGGGAATCACCAGTGGGAGATTCAGAACAGCAAAGTCTGATGCCTGTTCCTTCCTCTGGTAGCTTCGTCCCAGAAGGGTACCTATTGGATGCCAACTAGAGCTCTCCTGTATGAGGTGTTTGTCAGCCCCTAATGGGAGGTATCTCCCAGTCAGGATACACAGGGGCCAGGGAGCCACTTGAGGAGGCAGTCTGTCCCTTATCAGAGCTCAAATGCTGTGCTGGGAGATCTGCCGCTCTCTCCAGAGCTTCCCAGCAAGGACGTTTAAGTCTGCTGAAGCTACCAGGTACCCACAACCGCCATTTTTCCCATGTGCTTTGTTCCAGGAAGGTGGGGGCTTTATTTGTACTTTCCTGATGGGCTGCTGCCTTTTTTTCAGAGATGCCCTGCCTGGCAAGGAGAGAATCTGTTGACACAGTCTGCCTGCAGAGAACTTGCTGAGCTGCCGTGGGCTCTGCCTAGTTCAAACTTCCTGGTGACTTTGTATACACTGTGATGTTAAAACTGCCTACTCAAGCCTCAGCAATGATGGACACCCCTCTCCTCACAGAGCTCAAACATTGCAGGTCGAGGTCAGACTGCTGTGCTGGCTGCAAGAATTTCAAGAGAGTGGATCTTAGCTTGCTGGCCTTCATGGGGGTGGGACCAGCCAAGCCAGATCACTTGGCTCTTGGCTTTAGCCCTCTTTCCAGGCACTTTCCGAGGGGTGTGAACAGTTCTGTCTCACTGGTGTTCCAGGTACTACTGGGACATGAAAAATGAAATGCAACTTGCTTGGTGTCTTCCCAAACAGTTGCCCAGGTTTGTGCTGGAAACCCAGGGCCCTAGTATTATAGGTACTAGAGGGAATCTCCTGGTCTACTGGTTGTAAAGACCATGGAAAAAGCACAGTATCTGTGCTGGAGTGCAGGGGACAGTCCCTAATGGTTTCCCTTTGCTAGGATAGGGAGTTCCCCAGCCTCTTGCACTTCCTGGGTAAGGTGACACCCCACCCTGCTTCAGCTTGTCCTCATTGGGCTGCATCCACTGTCCAACCAGTCCCAGTGAGATGAACCAGGTTCCTCAGTTGGAAATGCAGAGATCACCTACCTTCTGTGTCTATCTCACTGGGAGCTGCACACTGGAGCTGTTCCTTCTTATTTGTTTTTTGACATAATTCAGTTCCTTTTGATTGTGAGACCAAGATTCCTTGTGACCTGTCTGATAAGAGCTGTCCCCAGGTTCTAGAGGCCACCAGTTTTCCTTAACTTGTGGCCTCCTTTCTCCGTATTCAAAGCCAGCAATGACAGATTGAGTTCCCCCCATATTTTGAAACTCTTCTTCTTCCAGCTTTCTCTCTCTCCCCAGGTGGGAAACGTTCTCCACTTTTAAGGACTTGTGTGATTAAAGTGAGCTCAAGTGAATAATCCAGGATATTTTTACCCTATCTCAAGTTCTGTAACCTCAATCACATGCAAAGTCCCTTTTGCCATACATGTGAGGTGACACATTTACAAGTACCAGGGATTAAGGCATGGACATCTTTGGGAGATTTCTTACTGCTTACCACAGTAGGAAAGAGGGGTGGTTCCCACAGTCTGGGTCTCATAGTTTGGGAACCAAGTAAGCACTTTAAGCCGCAGAAAAGCCTCAAGTGGGGGAAGGAAGGAGAATGGTTCTGTTCTTTCCTTTATTCCTGCTCTCCCTTCTCTGCCTTCACTGCCTAGATGTCAGGATCCAAGCCATGGGCTGAGGAAAGCCAAGGAGGCAGAGCAGCCCTTCCTAACCGAGCTGTGGGGTATCTGAGTGCATTCCAGTGCATTCAATGCTTAAAGAACACTTTCATGGTTTCTTCAGGGTTCCCTACAGGGTATTTCTCTCCTACAGCTCTCTAGCAGAGGAGATTCATCTCTATCCAGATGGCAAATGTACACTGAGAAGAAATGCAGGAAGTCAGTCTGAAGGGCTCAAGCACATGGCAATAGGTGGAGTTGCAAGTGAGGACTCAACTATATGAAATGGGCTGTGTAAAAGAGTGGGAGACAGCAATGAGGGGCTGTGGATCAGGGACCGGGAAGAGGTTCAACTATCCAATGGGCTCTAACACAAAGTCTTAATTTCATCAAGGGCGGGGGTTTCCCTAGAAGCAGACACTGAGAGGAAAATTCAAAGGCAAACTGTTTACCTGGATGTTTTCTGCCACACCAGCAGAGACATGGGGAGCTTACATAAGGAAGGGAGGCATCCTGTAAGGTGTGCATTGTTACATCAACTGAGTAGTGGACAACTGAAACTTCATCCCATGGGAGAGTCAGGAAAAGCAGTGTGAAACACAGTGCAGAGCTAGCTAACCTGAGGGGCAAGGGAGTTGGGGAACTCACACATCATCTGCCATCACTCACTGGCTGAGTGCCCTCTTGGGGAGTGTTTAATGCTCCAACACTTCTGGCTTGGGTGGGCAGAACATCCTTGTTTAAAAAAAGTCCCCAGTCACAGAATTGCAGGGCAGGCATCTAAAGTTATCAGCTGCACACTCACATAGTAGACTTCTAGACAAACAAAAGATGTGTCCAGGCCTGGGGTGAAATGAAAGGGAAGAGTAAGAGAAAAGTATGCATGCTGTTGCAGTGCCCTTTAAGGAATAGAATCTATCCCACAATCTGGATAGGGATAAATCTAGAATGGAAAAGAGGGCTTCAGACTAGAAAGATACCAGGTTCAAGAGGACAAGAATATATAGTGACTGGGGAGCCATGACTTGTATGCAAAACAGTAGCAATAAAAACCAAAATGTATAGTAGCTCATTTACATGGCCCAAGAATGAGAGCAAGAGCTGTGGGGAATGAATAAGGCAGAGGTGAGCAAGCCTTTATGGAGAAAGACTGGCTGGGACCGGGTCTTCATTGGATGGATCAGAGCTAGCAGAATGCTTTGCATCATTTGTTTTGGTAACCTCTTTCTGCTGTGACATTTAATTAAAGCTAGAGGGAAAATGAATGTGGCCACTGCATGAGAAGGGGTATCTTCCAAGGTGCATTCTAGGCACGGCCATGGAGCACATGGGGCCGTCCTGGAGCACAGGATGAATGCTGTTTGCTGTATGCTGAGACTGCCTGGGAAGAAAAGATCCCACAGCGGTATTTCAGGGCTGAAATGGTTTTCTCAGCTCCTTTTTCCTAATTTGCTGGAGACTGGTCCAGAGAAAGTAATTAGAGTTGCTTTGGTAATGTGTTTGCTTTACCACTTTCAATTAAGGCCAAGAATAGAGTGAGAGGAAGAGAGAGTGAGTGCACAACGGTGGAAGCATTTTTTATTGCTCCCACCAGTTCTCCATGCAAACTTGCACAATATTTTCTTGGTTATTTTAAACTAATGAGCCCCCAAGTTGTTTTATTTTAAGCAGCTTCGTTCAGGTATAATGAACCTACAATACGCTGTACATACTTAAACTATGCAATTTGGGTAAGTTTTGACATATACATACATGATGAAACCACTGCACAATCAAGATAGTGAATATGTCCATGATTCAAAAACGTTCTTTGTGCTTTTAGAAAACCCATCCTCCAGCCCCTCCTGCCCCTACAGGCACTCTGAACCAGACAAGCACCTGCTTTCTGTCACTACAGGTTCGTTTATATTAGTAGAATTTTATGGAAATGCAGCCACACAGCATGTACTCTTTTGTGTATCTGGAATTATCTTGAGATTCATCTATTTTTTTATGTATCAATAGTTCATTACTTTTCATTGCTGAGTGGTCTTAAGTTTTCAAGATTACAAAATCAAATATTTCTTTAATTTTGAGACATAGTCATTGCATCATCTTCTTAGGGCTGCCTTAATGAATTACCACAAGCTGGGTGGCTTTATACAACAGAAATGTATTATATTGTATTACATTTCTGGAGGCTGGAATTCAACATCAAGGTGTCAGCACATTCCCCTGGAAGGCTCTGGGAAAATCGTACCCTTCTCTGAGCTTCTGGTATTGCTGGCTGTCCGGGGTATTCCTTAGCCTGTGGGTCCATCATTCTCATCTCTGCTTGTATTATTCATGGTGTTCTGCCTTGTCTCTGTCTCTGTCTCTATGTCTCTCCACCTCTTCTTAAAGTGACACCAGTCATATTGCATTAAGGGCTCACTCCATTCCATTATGACCATATCTAAATTAATTACATCTGCAATGGTTCTATTTCCAAGTAAGTTCACATTCTGTGGTTTCAGAAAGGACTTGAATTTGTGGGGGATGGCCTACAACACCGGACAGACATCCTACTTCATTGAGTGTTATATGGTTCTATTGAATTAAGTCAGGAAAGGAGTTAATACCTTTTTTTTTTTTTTTTTTTCTAGAATTCTTGACCTATCTTGAGATCATGTGAGCTAGGAGTCACATTTTCCAAAGTGTATTCCAAATAATTACACATAAAGTCACATTCTCTAAAACTATGATAGTGTGGTCAAATAAGTTTGACGAAGGCTGTTTTTCTTTAAGTGTCTTTATTGAAGGCTTATCAAATCTTCAACATATACAACTAGAATAAACTTGGCTCTTTTCATTGCCTTTCTCAGCACAGCATTGCCTTTAGAAGAGCTGCAAAGGAACTGAAAAGCAATTTAAATCTTCTTTGCAGAACTCTTAAAAAAAAAAGAGGGAAAATATACTACATTATGTACAGTAGAAATGCCCCCAAGATCCTTATCTGCTCCCACAAAGCCAACTGATCGCCTTGCAGCAACTGTCCCCATACTGTGGTTATCTGCTGAAAAAACCTCCCCAAACCTTTCTCCCAAAATATAATCTAAGCTAACACTGTCTCATCTGTCCTCTTCTCCCCTCCCACCTCCCCAAATTCCTTTTTTAATAGAAAAATGGAAAGCTCTCTGCCCTTTCTAACTTAGAAACATTCAGCTTTTAGGAACTCTCTGGTTTCCCTTCCTAACGCAAACACACTAAAACTGTCTTAGAATGGACAAACGGAGGGATGGTAGAAGATTGTCAATCATGAGAAAATCTGCTGAACTAAGTGGGGCAGGATGAACCAAAGGAGTCATGAGAGAGGACAATGGCAGACACGCCAAGAAGATGATACCACTATCTGTTCTAAGTCCAAACCTCAAAGATTTCTGGAGAATTCCTGAACAATGAAAATTGTTATCTTTGATCCCTCTGATTGGCCTACTCAAAAAGGTAGATCATCAGCTTAGATCATCCCTTCCAGATCATCAGCTTAGGCAAAAATCGTGCAAACAAGATGCACTGTTTCTAGACTGCCAACGGTTTATTTTTCTCCTCTGTCTTATGACTCCCATTTTTGCGTTTGTTTTCTGGCTCATTCTACCAACCGACTCCTCATGTGAGTAAACAATATGACTGCGAAATAAACTAATAAGCATGCTGCAGAATAGCTAACAAACATCTCTGAATTTTTCTTTGATAAAAAACTTTTTTTTCATCTCTGCACATAAATGATACTTCACAGGGAATATCCAAGGAGGGTATGCCTTGTCCTCTAGCTCTTTTGGAAGCTCTACACATGCCTTTAAAAGACTTTTCAGTGACACAGAGCAGGCTTCAAATGCTTATGCAAACACATTCAATTGCTAGTGTTCTTACCAGCCAGCTCTGCGGACCCCAGTGTTTTCAGTTGGAAGCCACTAAAAGGTAGCCGAGCAGCCCACTGGACAACTACCATATACAGGATATACTCAAAGCACAAGGTAATTCTTCCTACTTTCTTCCCTTTAATAGAAATTCTCTGCTCCTGGGTGAAATCTTGGATAGGTTTAATGAATTAGGCGGTAGACAGGATCATGGTCACTTTAGCACATAAAGGCTCAATTTGGAAGTTAGAATAACCGGTTCTTGATAGTAATGAAATGTTTGTGCAAAAGTTAGCGTACCATCTTCCATTCCCTAGCTAGGCCCACTGTGGCCGGATCAGTTTCAGGAGGTGGGTGGAAGCAGGGGTGGTTCTACTTCATTCTTTCCCTGCAATGTTCCCTCCTCCTGCAGTGACTGGCTGCAGGGAAGAGCATGCACTGTGGAAACACCACCTTCTGACTTACTGGGTGTGTTCTTCACCTTATGTCATGACTTTCTGGTATCAGGTAAGTAGTTGCCAACACTTTCTCTTAGGAATGCACTTGTGGGCTTTTCCAGATCCAGGCCCCATAATGTAGACCATGTTTCTTCTTTGGTTGGTCCCAATGTGTTCAGTTCATGGTCAGATGCTCACTGCTGGGGGTCTCTTCATCCCTTTGAGGGAGTCCCCTTGCTGATGGTCTGAAATAGCTCCAGGGGCACTCTCTTTCTTCCAGAGTCAATGGCTGGTCCATGGGAGACACTCACACACGCTGTGACCCGTGGTGGACAGGGAATGCGCTCACTTTCCATATGCAAAAGCCACCCACAGACAACCACCAAAGGGTCTCAGCAGCCCTTCTCTGACCTCTGAATTTATTGGGTTAAGAGGCCGATTTCCATATCCTGGGTCTCCAAAGTTTAAGGGGCTGCATATAAAGTTCTGAATGACCTCATTGAGCTCTTCTCCCCAAAAACTAAGATTGAAATGAAAGAACAGGTAATGTCTCTACAACTTCCAGCAATACAACGTTCTCTAAATACTCATTTAAAAATCCTCTCTCTACATCTGCACTCTCTTAAAACTCTAGATGAGGTGCTCAAAAGTTTCGAAGATGGTTTTTCTTTTCTTTTTTTTTTTTGAGACGGAGTTTCACTCTTGTTACCCAGGCTGGAGTGCAATGGCACCATCTCGGCTCACTGCAACCTCCGCCTCCTGGGTTCAAGCAATTCTCCTGCCTCAGCCTCCTGAGTAGCTGGGATTACAGGCACGCACCACCATGCCCAGCTAATTTTTGTATTTTTAGTAGAGACGGGATTTCACCATGTTGACCAGGATGGTCTCAATCTCTTGACCTCGTGATCCACCGGCCTCGGCCTCCCAAAGTGCTGGGATTACAGGCGTGAGCCACCGTTGAAGATGGTTTTTCTTTGTAAATGCTGCATGTGATGAGCTGGTGCCTCACTTTGGAATTTCATTCTAATATATCTTGGTTCTCATTAGAAATTAATTTTAAGATCCTGTTAGAATAAGACATGTGTTAAAGGGCAAAAATGTTAGCACATCCTTTCTCTGATAAAGAATGCCAGAAATTGGACAGGCCCAGCACTGTGTGATCTTTCTCTTTGAAGCTGTACTGACCTGATTTTCTATGTATAATATCATGTAGGAAAAAAAAGAAGACCCATGCAAATGTAAAAACAAAAATCATGACTCAGCAAAAATGAAAGTAACAAAGTTAAATTTTAGGTGCCTTTTTGAAGTTTAAATAGTGCATTCCAAATTCCAAAATAATTTTTGAGATAAAACATTTTTAAATAATTAATTTTAAAAACTACTTTAAGAAACAATCCAGATGTTCAGAATAAGTGGCTTATTAAACTCATAAAAGCAGCTTATATTTTGGATAACTTGACAGTAATTACAAATAATCATCTAGCTCTACATTTGTTTTCTCTTTTATTCATATATAATATATTCACATATAATAACTAAATATTTATGGGTTACATATGTTTATTACATACATAGAATATCTATTGATCAAGTCATCACCTTGGATATTTATCATTTTTATGTGTTAGTATCATTTCAAGTCCTCTCTTCTAAGTACTTTGAAATGTACATAACATTGCTGCTAAGTATAGTCACTCTAGTCTGGTATTAAACATTAGAACTTATTTCTTCTATCTAACTGTATGTTTGTACCCATAACCAACCTCTCATCATCTCCCCTCCCCACCCGCCCCTTTCCCAGTCTCTGATACCTATCACATTATTTTCTATGTTCATGAGATAAGTTTTAAGTGCTCCCTGAAATAGCTCCAGGGACACTGTCCTTTTTCCAGGATCAATAGCTGCTCCACAGGAGACACTCATACATGCTGTGACCCATGGCAGACAGGAAACGCACTCACTTCCCATATGCAAAAGCCACTCACAGACAACCACCAAAGGCTCTCAGCAGCCCTTCAAGATCTCTGCATGAGTGAGAACATGCAGTATTTGTCTTTTGGTGGCTGGTTTATTTCACTTAATATAATGGCCTCCAGTTCTATTCATCTTGTTGCACATGACATTATTTCGTTATTTTTCATGGCCAAATAGCATTGCATTTTGTATCTATATCCCATTTTTTAATCTCTTCATCCATTGATGGACAGTTAGGTTAACTCCATAACTTTGCTATTGTGCAACTTCCTATGATAAACATGTGAATGCAAGTCTATTTGACAGGTTGATTTTTTGTTTGCTTGTTTGGATAGGTACTCAGTAGTGGAACTGCTGGGTTGTATGATAGTTCTATTATTAGTTTTAGAGAAATCTCTATACTGTTTTCCATATTGGTTATACAAATTTATATTCCCTCCAACAATGTATAAGAGCTCCCTTTCCTCTGCATCCTCACCAGAATCTGTTATTTTTGTCTTTCAGTAATAGCCACTCTAACTGGGCTGAAATAATATCTCCTTGTGGTTTTGATTGCATTTCCCTGATGATTAGTGATATTGAGAATTTTTTCATAAACCTGTTGGCCATGTGTATGTCATCTTTTGAGAAATGTCTATTCATGTCCTGTGCCCATGTTTTAATGCATTTTTTTCACTGTTGAGTTGGATATCAGTCTCCTGTCTGATGAGTAATTTGCAAATATGTTCTCCCATTCAACTCTGTTAATCGTTTCTTTTGCTGTACAGAAGCTTTTTAGTTTAATATAGTTCCATGTATTTATTTTTACTTTTGTTTTCTGTGCTTGTGCAGTCTTAGCCATAAAATCTTTGCCTAGAGTGATTTTTGAAGTTTTTCCAATATTTTCATCTAGTAGTTTTATAGTTTTGGGTTTAAGTCTTTAGTCCATCTTTAGTTGATTTTTGTGTATACAGAGACACAGGGGCCCTGCTTCATACTTTTGCATATGGTTATCCAGTTTCCCAGCATCACTTATTTAAGAAGGTATCCATTCCCCAGTTCATATTCTTGGCAGCTTTGGCAAATATCAGTTGACTGTAAATATGTGGATTTATTTATATGTTCTCTATTCTATTCCATTCATCTACATATCTATTTTTATACCAATAGCATACTGTTTTGGTTACTAGAGCCTAGTAATATGATTTGAAATCAGATAGTGTAATCCTTCCAGCTTTGTTCTTTGTGCTCTAGATAGCTTTAGTTATTTGGGCTCTTTTTTGGTTTCATACAAATTTTAGAATTTTTCTGTCTATTTCTATGAAAAATGATGTTGCTATTTTGATAGGAATTACACCGAATCTGTGGATTGCTTTGAGCAGTGTGGTTATTTTGACTAGATTGATTCTTGCAATCCATGTCTTTCCATTTATTTGTGTTGTAGATTTCTTAATAGAGATCTTTTACCTCCTTGGTTAAATTTATTACTAGGTATTTTATTTTTCTTGTAGCTGTTGTAGGTAAGATTGCCATGTTAATTTCTTTTTTGGCTATTTCATCCTCATTAGCATATAGAAAAGCTATTGACTTTTGTAAATTGATTTTGTATCCTGCAACTTCACTGATTTTTTTTTTATAATTCTGTAATGTTTTTGGTGAAGTCTTCTGGTTTTTCTAGGTATAAGATCATGCCATCTACCAAAAGAGACAACTTGATTTCTTGATTTCTTTTCCAATTTGGAAGTCAATTTTTTTTTTCTTGCCTGATTTATCTGGTTAGGACTTCCAGTACTATGTTGAACAGAATGGTGAAAGTGGGCATCCTGGTCTTGTTCTAGTTCTTGGAGCAAAGGCTTTCAACTTTTCTTGACTCAGTATGGTGTTAGCTATGAATTTGTCATATACGATCTTTATTATTTTGAAGTATGGTTATTCTATGCCTAGTTTGTTGAGAGCTGTTATCGTAAAGGGTGATGGATTTTGTCAAATGCTTTTCCTGTGTCTACTAAGATGATCCTATGGTTTTTGTCCTTCATTCTGTTGGTGTGATGTATCATGTTTATTCATTCATATATGTTGAACCACTCTTGCATCCCTGAGAAATCCCACTTGATCGTTAGGTATTATCTCTTCGATGTGTTGTTGGATTCAGTTTGCTAGAATTTTGTGGAGGATTTTTGCATCTATGTTCGTCAGAAATATTGACCTGTTGTTTTTGTTGTTGTTGTGTCCTTAACTGGTTTTGATATCAGAGTAATGCTGCCCTCATAGAATGAGTTAGAGAGGATTCTCTTCTATTATTAAAAAATTTCAATTGTGCTATACAGTTAAAAATAAAAATTAACCAAACATTTTTATGGCATGCCTTTTAGTAAGTGTGTTTTTAGCCTCATTTTAAAAAGTCTGAAACACCACCTATATATTAAGAAGAGTCATTTCTGAGTCGTAGGATTGTAGGAAACTTTCAGTTTTTACCTAATTTAGTTTTAGGTCACATTTTTCTGCATTACCTGATTTTTTACATTGAATATTTTCCTCTCTTATAGTAAAAAGAAAAATTTTAAACATGTTTTAATTGAAATAAAGTGTATTTCTTTCAAAAATTTGCAGTCTTTCAATCAACATGGTTGTGCTTGAATTTACTGTTACAAAATGCAATAAGAATTTTTCATTTTAACCATAATTTTGTTTCAATTCTGAATTGGGTGGTTTTATATTTGAATATGTCTTTAACAATTTCTTAAAATATGAACCAAACCACTTGTAAATAAGTCTATTTATAGTCTCATAATTTGATATATATTTCTTTTATTCAGTGGCTATAAACCAATTGTATGCAAAAAAAACAGCTATGAAATTCAAATTTGTAAACATTTTTCAATCACACAATAGAAAAAAACCCTTAAGAACTGGGCAGCTTAAGTTCCAATTAAATAGATCGCTTATCAATATTAGATATATGCATTGCATCTGTTTTCAATAATATATACAGATTTCTACTCTGTGTGTTTACTTAAATATGTATTCTATGTTCATTGTAAGATTACTATATGCTTGACTTATATCAATTCTTCCTAGGCCCCATAGGAGGAACTTTATCTGCTAATGTTACATATTGAAGAAAGAGGAGAGAGACACAGCAGGGCTTAATATGTGCAATATATTCTTAATCAGTCTTCCTTGGGAATCATAGAGCTTATGGATGTGGAGTAAATGTGCAGCAAGAGTGATCTGGTATACCATTATCTTTTAATTGGAGTTTCTATTCCTGTCACTGTTTCATTTGCTCACCATAATAGCTTAAACCGTAGCAATTGGCAGAAGCAACACTGTTGGTTTGGACTGTAGACAACAGGACACATGCAAGTCTTTTATTTCCAAAGAGGCTTGGAGAGGAATTTCGGATTTTGCATAGATTTTGCTTGGGGAACCAATTAAATCTGAAAATAGCTAACTGCATGTAAAGCAGATTCCTGAGGAGTCTTTGCATCCAAGCAACACCTGATGCATCCTTCCCAACTCCTTTTCTTATTTCTTTCATATCTAGCTGAAGGTTAATTTTTTTTACCAGTTTAAAAGTCTATTTTTCTGCTAATATTATATAAGAAGACTGAAAAATTGAAAGCTTTGTGTTTGTGTGTTAATGAGCCAACACATCAATCCATTCATACATAAAATGTGAGCAGACAACTTTGTCCTTGCATAATAGATGGTGAAATTTCTGATAGTACTTGTCTTTGTTTGGAGGCAATTCACAAATGGAAATGGGAAATGCCGAGCCTGGCTAGCCTAGACAATTACATTTCTATTTCTAAGTTGCCTGTCTCTTTGTGCAACTAAGAGTTAAGTACTATCCTTATAAAGAACAACGGAGTTTGTTCCCAAACTCATTTATACCAGTTTTCAATTTCTGAAATTATGCACTCCTTAAATGTCATGTGAAGACAATGAAATATGAGTGCAAAGAGTTTTTTTTAATAAAACTTAGTTGAATACTTTGGAAAATCTCAATAAAGATGAATAACTTAAAATTTGCTATGAATTAAAAATGATGGCGGCTGGGCGCGGTGGCTCACGCCTGTAATCCCAGCTCATTGGGAGGCAGAGGAGGACGGATCACGAGGTCAAGAGATGGAGACCATCCTGGCCAACATAGTGAAACCCCGTCTCTACTAAAAAATACAAAAATTAGCTGGGCGTGGTGGCGCGCCTATAGTCCCAGCTACTTGGGAGGCTGAGGCAGGAGCACTGCTTGAACCTAGGAGGCGGAGGTTGCAGTGAGCCAAGATGGCACCACTGCACTCCAGCCTGGCATCTGGTGACAAAGCAAGACTATGTCTCAAAAAAAAAAAAAAGATACGATTGTAAAAGATTGGGGAGAAAAATGTTAAAGTAGGAAAATTCTGTACTCAAATTATTTCCCCTTGTTTTTTCTATGTGTTGTCATTGTAATTTCATTATTGTTCCTTTCTTTTTTTTTTTTTTTTGAGACGGAGTTTCGCTCTTGTTACCCAGGCTGGAGTACAATGGTGTGATCTCGGCTCACAGCAACCTCCGCCTCCTGGGTTCAGGCAATTCTCCTGCCTCAGCCTCCTGAGTAGCTGGGATTACAGGCACGCGCCACCGTGTCCAGCTAGTTTTTTGTATTTTTAGTAGAGACGGGGTTTCACCATGTTGACCAGGATAGTCTCGATCTCTTGACCTCGTGATCCACCCGCCTCGGCCTCCCAAAGCGCTGGGATTACAGGCTTGAGCCACCTCACCCGGCCTATTGTTCCTCTTTAAAGAAATTTAAAAAAAAGCAAAACTAATAGGTGAGTCAGAGGATCGTTCATACAAGAAACATTAAGCATTCCCGAGCACTGGGGATTAACTCATCCACTTGTAAGATTCCTTTTGAATCCTATGCCCAAAGAGTCTTATTTAGGTGGTGTAGGCACAATAAGATATGTGCATCTGGATTTTGAAAATTATCACAAATAAATCCAATACAAGGTAGGCTGTTGATTGACGATCCTTCTTGAATAGATCATATCGCTGACACCATTATTTTTCCAAGACTTGCCCTATCCAATAAATCAACTCTAGAAACTTTAACACCATGAACAAGCCATTCGTTTGAGAACAGAGACCATGCGTTATACTTACTCCAATCCTCCGAATTCAGCTCCTGGCGCTGTAAAAATAGCACATGGATTGAGAGCCAGATGTCGTGTTCTGCAGAGAGCCGGTTTGGTAACAAGTTTCATCTGTGTGACTGTTCAGTGCCTTGATGAGCTGAGAGGTCTGGTGTGGAGGAGGGCTGGAGGAAGGCTAACCCTTTCTGGAGAGGATCTTTGGGAATGCAAAGAACAACTTAAATATCAAATTCCACATCAAAAATTAGCAGTGTTGAATTTGATATAGTTCTTGGAATGACTGAATCAGAGCTATTACCAAGCTTCAAACCAGCAAAGATTTGCACAAATATGGGATTCATTGAGCAAATCAAGTGCAGAAATCATTCAGACATTCAACATTTTAAAGGAATGTGAACATTTGCTATATATAAAACACGGGTCTGTTCACAGGAGAAATGCAAATGTGAACCAGAGGTGCCTCCGTTTCTGGCATACAACCTGTGGAAAGAACCACATCTCATCTTTGCATAGCAGATGATACTTATACTGAGCATTTTACATTTTTCTAACATTTAAACCTCCCAGCAGCTCTATGAGATGCTGCTATGATTCCCAGATTATTCTGCATAACAGTCTGCAGATTTCCAAATATATTCCCACAAATTATCTTATTTGATCCTCACAACGGCCCATGGGGTAGGCTTCAAATATCCTCCCTTTGCATACAAGGAAACCAAGACTCAAAGAGGTTAAGTAACTTTCTCAAGATCACACAGCTGGAAAGTAAAAGAGTTCAGAATCAAGATCTAGCCAAGTGCTTTCTTCCTCACGCTGTGATGAAAAGCTGGCTTGCTTGAAGTGACCACATTATTTGTGTCTGTTCAGGCAGATTTATAAAGCTAAACTCATCATCTATTTTCCTTCTCTCACAAAATACCCAGCATCTTCCTATGACAAATGCAAATGTGCTAAGGGCTTCTGAGAAACCAATTGTTTTAGAAACCACAAGGAGGAACAATGTTATCTTTTTCAAAAATCTCTCTCTCAAAAAAAAAAATCTGTACCTTATTTCTAATTTCATGGGTCCCAACCCCCTGCAGATTGTGGAAACATAGATTTAGAGTGGCTGACCTCATGGTCCACTCCACTTACCTGCAGGGAAGACTATCTTCGAAACAAACAAAAAATATAAAACTTAAAAAATTATTCTATTTCCGAAGAGTAGAGAAAAAAAAACCTCAGAATGAACTGTAGGTGTGAGGCTGGTTGCATTTCCCCAAAACAGCCACATCAATAAATCCTTCCCATCTGCTCCTCTTACAAGGTGACTTGACACTCCTCCTATGGAGGCATGAGTCTAAGTCCTTCTCCTTGATGCTGGGCAGCTTTTGTGACTTTAGCAGAAGTGTCATTACACAGCTTACAGAGCTAGGTCATAAAAGGTGATACAGTTCCCACCAAGTCTCTTGGCTCCTTGTGAAACCCAACCATCAAATTTGCCAGATGAGAGAAATCACATGGTGAAGTTCTGCCTAAATACTCCAACCAACAGACAGCATTCACCAGCAGACCTGTGAGTGAAGACAACTCCAGAGGATTCCAGCCCCAGTCATCAAGACACGCCTCTCCTTTCAGGCTTTCCAGCTGAGCTTTCTGACATCTGGGAACAGAAGCCGCCTTGCCAAACCTATGCCCTGTCCAAACCCCTGACTGACAGCACCCATAATCATAACAAAATGGGTATTTTACGCCACTACATTTTGAGGTAATTTGTTAGATAACAATAGATATCTATTGGGCAACAATACATAAGTAATAAAAGACTGAGCTTTCTATCATTTATCTTGATTTTAATATCAGGCTTTCAGGATAATTGAAGCACTAAATATGAGGCTGTTACGTGTGATTTAAGGATGTTAGAAGTCCAGATTTACAGCTTCTAGTCATTGTAGTAAAATTAAAGTGATAGGTGTGTTCAAAATAAAAGGTGAAAAACTTAAAAAACAGTGTGTAATTGCTAACCACCCATCACTGAATAAGTAAGCAAACAATAAAAAGAAAAGAAATGGTGAAAATCAAAGTAGAATTCAAACTCGATATATTATAGAAAAATAGAGAAAATGTCTTTTTTTAAATGACCTACTGAGGGACACCAACGCCACAATTATAGCTGAAGCTTAACTTTCAAATTACAAAATACCTAATTACATTGTGTTTAAGCAAAATATAAACCAATAGGTAAACTAATTAGAAATGGATTTCATTTTCATATCACTTGTTCATGCATGTAATGTTACTGTTTCTTTTCCCTTCTCCTTAATATGAGAAATGGAAAAATTAAAAGAGTTGAAAAGAAATTTTTAAAAAATTACTTTAGAGAAATATGTATATATATTTTACTTTTGTGTTTGAATTTTAGCTGCTTTAAAAACTTAACAAGTGCCCAGCAACTCTAGTTTCAAAAAGCTGTAAATGTAAGAGTAGCTTAGGCTTGTGACCTCATTGTCCACTCCACTTACCTACAGGGAAGACTACCTTTGAAACAACATAAATATACAAACTTAAAAAATAATTTTAGTTCCAAAGACTAGTTAAAAAATATATCATAATGAACTATAAGTGTGTGGCAGGTTTCATTTCCCAAATATAATATAAAAAATATACAATAATGAAACAGGCCAATCAACTATACCATTACTGTGTTGTAGGATATCTGCTGTCTGACTCTCTTGTTTAGCTCTTGTCTCAGAGATAGAGGTAGATGAACTTTGGAGAAAATGGGCTGAAGAGGGAGACAGAATCATAACAATCTGCTTCTCCTTTATCTCCATTTAAAGCCATGGTATTGATGGATCCCAATGCAAAAAAGCTGTTCTCTTTGTAGTCTCTCTTTACGGTTTTGTAATACTCAATTAATATTGAGAAAATTTTTGCTCAGCAACTTCCTTCTAACTTTGGTATCTGAAATTTTCTCTCCTCAGAATTTACAAACAAAATATAAAACTTCTGGAAAATGTAACTGTTTTCACCCTTCCTGACACTTTCACAATACTTCGTGCCCTCACAACCCAGGAACAATAGAAAATCTCCAGGAAAAAATCACTACGTGCTTCTGCAACTCATCTCTGTTTTCAGATTTGCCAAATGCCACAAATCTAAAACTTACAGATAATTCTTCTTTCTTCACTAAAATGCTTGACTATATTAAGATCCTGTCTTAAAAAACAAAAAAGAATGGAGTTTCATGTGGCTTAATAGAAAATACATGTTCAATAGGATTAATCAAATTACAAAGCAACACCAAAATATGAATAACGGGGAAGTCTAGTTATTAGTCAGGGCCTCCTCTTCCAAATCAAGAGATAGGCAGTAATGCTGCCTCATGGTGTCCACTGCAATCACCTAAGGATGTTTGAAGATAACCTACCTGTGTAATCAAACCCAGGTTCAACTGCTTGCCCCTCAAAAACCAGATTCGAGAAACAAAGGTTGGTGGAAGGAAAAGCAGGTTTATTTGGATAGCCAGCAAACTGAAAGGATGGTGGACTATTGTCTTAAAGCACCATGTTAAGTTAATATAAATTGCAGGCTCTTTTTATGTTAAGTGCAGGGGGAAGAGGAGGGGATTGGGATCAATGGGTCACCAGTGACCATGGACATCTGTGTGCCAGTGAGGGTCTGAGTAGGTTGGGAACTTCTTTATCCTTGGTCACGTCACAATGCTCCTATAAATCTTTAACAAAACGTAGTTAGTCGTTTACATACTTCTTCAATCCAAGAGTTTAAAAAACTAAATGATTGCTGTTTTTGCATATTATCTCAGTGCTCTAAACTATCCTAGCTTATGTGTAGAAATATCTAAAAGCCCCTTAAACAAAGATGGAGTTAGTTATGTTAGTCCTTTTTTTGTTTCGTGTTACACCTGGACCTCACACACTAAGACACAGATTGAATAGGGCTGGGGCAAGACCTGCGTGTCGGGCTCTTAAGGCCACATGGGTGATTTTAATGCACAGATAGGACTGAAGTCCTGTTTGAGAGAGGGGAGTCTTTGTTGCCTTCCACAGGAGCTGCAGGAGTTGAGAAGAAGCAAACCTTCTAAGTGCCATTTTCTTGAGCAGTGTTGTGTTGGGTGTGGTAGTGGGTATATAAGAAGAACGTAAAATATTGATCTCTAAAAATTTCTTTTTTTACTTGCAGAATTTTTCTCTCCCACAAGCTACATGCTTTAAAGTGTAGCTTATTAAGGAAATGTACACAGTGGAGTGAGTCCTGTTTTCCTTTTCTTTGTTTTGCCTCTAAGATCAGATTCAAATCTCTTTGAATCCCAGTAATATAAACTGCTGGTTTTGGTGGATCTGGAGAAATGACGGGAATAATAAACACTTCCGAAATATCCAAAGTTAAACCAAATAGCAAATTTGGGTGACAAAGTGCCACCTCCAGTCTAAGCAGGTGTAGAGGCTAAAACCTGCAAAAACATCTAATGAAGGCAAGGTTTGCACTTTGTTTTCAGGAAGCAGGAAAGCACCTGCTGTTTATTTATGCTTCTCTAAATGCAGGTGTTTTAGTCTAAATATGAGTGGGCTGGCTTTTCTTCTGAACAAGCTGTACTCAGCTGCTCCTGGAGTCTTAAATAATTTAACACATTTACAGATAAGGCTGTAACCTAAGCCGTGAATCAAGCCACTGCAGTCTTGACTCTATAGTTTTGCCTTTGCTAGAATGTCATATAGTTGGAATCATGCAGTATGTTGCCTTTTCAGATTGGACTTTTTCACTTAGTAATATGCATTTAAGGTTCTCCTATGTCTTTTCACGGTTTGATAGCTCATTTTTGTCAGCACTGAATAGCATTCCATTGTCTGGATGTACCATAGTTTATTCACGCATTCACCCACTGAAGACCACATTGCTTGCTTCCAAGTCTTAGCAATTACAAAGCTGCTATAAAAACATATGCGCAGGTTTTTGTGGGGACATAAGTTTTCAGCTTCTTTGGGTAAATACCTAGGAGTGTGATCGTTGGGTTATATGGTAAGAGTATGTTTAGCTTTGCATGAAACCACCAAACTGTCTTTCAGAGTGGTTGTACCATTTTGCATTCCCACTCATGTTAAATGAAAGCTTGTTTCTTCATATCCTCACCAGCATTTGGTGTTGTCAGTGTTGTGGATTGGGGGCATTTTAATAGGCATGCAATGTTATCTCATTGTTTTCATTTGCATTTCCCAATGATATATGATGTTTATTTACCATCTACATATCTTTCATGTTTATTTACCATCTGTATATCTTCTTTGGTGAGGTGTCTGTTCAGATCCTCTGCCCTTTTTAAATGGGGTTATTGTTTTCAAAACTCTTCAAGAGTTCCTTATCTATTTTGGAAACAGTCCTTCATCAGATACAGCCTTTGCAAATAAGAAGTGCAACAACATAATAAGGGCTGCAAAATAGAAGAAAACCTGAGTCTGTGATGATCATGAGATGTCTTAACAGGCCCAGTATCTTAACTCTGCATCTCTTCTACATGATAGGGAAAGAAATGTCTGTCTGGTTTTTTTTTTTGGAAAGAAAGGTGGAAGAAAGATGGAAAGAAAGGTGGAAGAAAGATAAAAAGGAAGGCAGGAGGGAAGAAAGGGAGGGGGGAAGGAGGGAAAGAAGAAAGGAAGGAAGGACAGAAGGAAGAAGGGAAGGAAGAAAGGGAGGAACGGGGAAGGAAGGAAGGAAGAAGGAAGGAAGGAAGGAAGAAGGAAGGAAGGAAGGAAGAAGGAAGGAAGGAAGAAGGAAGGAAGAAGGAAGGAAGGAAGGAAGAAGGAAGGAAGGAAGGAAGAAGGAAGGAAGGAAGGAAGGAAGGAAGGAAGGAAGGAAGGAAGGAGGAGGAAGGAAGGAAGGAAGGAAGGAAGGAAGGAAGGAAGGAAGGAAGGAAGGAAGGAAGAAGGAAGGAAGGAAGGGAGGGAGGGAGGGAGGAAAAGCAGCTTGGTACTATTAATTTCCTTCCATGCTGGGACCCTTCCTTCCCTCACGCAGCAACCAGGACATAAGAAGTAATCAGTGCACATATCCTGATTGTTTCCCAGGAAGAAAATGTGTTATAACCCTGTGTTCCTTGTTATAACGCCACAGTGATTATGCGAGGAAATAATTTTGAGCACAACTCTTTTAGTCCGTGACTTCTCTTCTCCTCTTCATTCCTGTGGTGCTTTTTGTTTTGTTTTAGAGTTGTCTCATTTTATCTTGGCAAGAGTGTAGTTCACATCCACTGTTCATGCTTTATCCCCTTCCTCTGGGGAGCACTGCATCTCCTCCACTGGCCACATTTCAAGGAAAAGCTGCCATCACAGAACCCTGACCTTTTGGCTATAGCTAAGCGAACTGGAGTCCTTCCCTGGGATTTTCCCTAATCTTACCCCAAATCCTACTACAGGCCACCATTGTCTCGCTCATGCACTGTTGATTAGACCCCACTGAGATGCCCTGTTCCCTTGCCCCTCCTGAGCTCCCACAGACTACTCTCAGCCAGTTTCTCCAAAACTATATTCAGATGGTATCAATTATCTCCTCGACTGTCTCTTTTGACTTACCATCTCACTCTGGATAAAATGTGGAATTTTCACCATTTCC